ACGGCACGTATTTTAGAAAGATTTACTCCGCAACGCTCATTCCAGAAGACTCTTCGAGATATAGCGCATATTTTCGACCCCCCTCCGCCTCTCCTCTAGAAAAATATAAACGCCACTACGCGTTAACTCTAGAGGGCTCTACGCAGATGCGGGACCCGTTTAGGCCCCCCTCCCCCCCGACTACAACCGCCACTACAGGCTGACTCCAGATCGATGGCCCACAACACCCAACACACGCAACACACGCAACACACACACAACACACCACGCACACCACACACCACTCACGACATCCTACACAACACTCAACACACAACACACAGCACACACCACACAGCACACACTACACAGGACGCAGCACGCAGCTTACAGCACACAGTACACAGCACATAGTACACAACACACACAACACCACACACAACACACAACACGCGCACTGCACACACAACACCGCGCACAGTCCTCTGGAAGGCTCTAGAGCCATCCACAGACTGTTGAGTTATCCGGTCCTTAAGTTTTTAACTGAATATTTTTATTTTACAGACGAGGAAATATTTATGTTTGTTCTACATTAAGCCCCTCGATACATCTACACAGCTCAATCAAGCAATTTTCGATATATTTCGCATACATATATATAGTTTCTTTTGGAAGGCAGTCGGACCATTCTCCATTCTATTATATAAATACCAAGTCAACAATCAGATCGATAGGATTGTCATAGAAACAGTCCCACGAAGTCTGCAAATATGTTGGGCCGAGAACTTTACCGTACGGTTGATAATATAGCTCCTTTATCAGCTTGATGACCCCAGAGTATAGGAGATGACCCCAGAGTATGGGAATTATGGTATCTTCCTTGCTATGGGCAGTGCAGGATTTATGTCCATAAAGCCCAAACTCTAAGCCGCCTATAGATCCCTTCAGGGAACCCCTTAAAGGTACCCGTATAGATCCCCGAACCCCAGGATTTACATCATGAACCGTCTGATCGCCGCTCACTGCAGCAAAGCGATACGACCAGATCGGGCTCCCTTTTCAAAGAAATTCTTTACCCCGTTCCATCTTGGGATCATCCTTGGTAATTAAAATAGGGATCCCTTTAAGGGATACTATAAGGGTACTATGATATAGGGCCCTCAATCATTAGAATAGGGATCCTCGAACCAAAGTAGCATTCATTTTTAAAATAGTGGCATCCAATTACAACCATCGATCTGTTTTTTAGTTTGTTATTCTTCACACTGTCGCAACTCCCAAAGCAGAGAGTTGGGACGGCCCGGTGATGAAAGTGAAGTCATCGATGGGCCGGACCTGGGCTTCTAAACCCTAAGCACGTAATGTAGGGGCCTTAATAATTAGAATACGCTTTTGGGAGTTCCTTATGATAGTTAGAGTATAACATGCCCCCAAGCCCTAATCTAATTACTAAGGGCCCTACATTAAAATTCCAAGCTATCTTCTGCGCACCATTCTGCCAGAAATACCCGCAGCAGTCCCAAGAACTCTGGAACAGCTGAGAATCTTATGCAGCTGAGCCCATTCGACGGAACGACCATGTCACAGTGACGCAATCTGCACCGAGTACTAGACAACATCTCAGCATCCTGAAATATCGAAAACCTTCCATATTGTCACAAGCATCGCAAGATGCCTTATCTCCAGAAGCTCGCAAAAGGGCACAGCCGGGAAAGTTCTGAGAAGGTGGCTGCGTGCCACCAGCCATGCGGTATAAAGAAGAACATACCGGGCTCAAGGTCCACCACCTCGAGAGGCAAAAGGGTGTCTCAGATACCTATATGCCTGGCATCTACAATGAGTAGCTCTCACACCACCGTCTTCAAACCCCACTAGTGGTTTGGCACAAGTCTTTGCAAGACGAAGCCCTTCCGTCTAATCACCTTCCCAGACTATTGCCGAACACCAGGAGCAAGACAGAAGCCTTACAAACGGCAAAGCTCGCATCCAAGTCGCCCCGCCCTTGCTTCCAGGCTGCTGCGCCATCTCCTGTCATTTTGGACCATTAGAGTTCAGAACTCAAACCTAAACTCCAAAATTCAACTCCTAAGACTCTAAGATCCTGAACCTCTGGGCTTTTTGTGTTCAGGGCCATATGTCTCACTACCCTTCATCCTGCGTTTGATTTCTCTCTCTTGCACCTGCATGACGACTTCCAGAGGAAGTCGAAGTCGGGACTTTGTGAACTTCACATTCGTTGAAGTTGCGACCAGCATGCTGGAGTCTTTTGCCACAGTAACATGTCGTTGCGTTTGCGACCGCTTGTCTTCACACCTTGCGGGCGCGTCGTGGGAGTTCCTTCTTTGAGCCCGGTGACGATCTGCACGGCGTCTGAAAGACCTAAAAAGAAGATACTGATGCTGCTAACAATAAGAATAACTATAATGACATCATTTACAACAATAATGACAACAATGGTAATACCAACAGGAATAATGGAAATAGTAGTGATGATAGTAATAATAGTACTACTGATAATTGTTGAAACAATAGTAGTAGTAATACTAATCGTAGTAATAACGGTACAGTAACAATAGCAACCATAATAGTGATGATCGTAAGTATATTCGTAATATTAACAACAAATAATAATGGATCCGGTGTCCTCTAAGCGTCTCCAGGCCTCCTCCTCCGGCATTTCACCTGAGGATCCAGGTGTTTTAGGATCGTAAGTTTGGGATTTTTGCGGATCGCAACCTTTTAGGGCTTCAGCATCTTATCGCCGGGGAAGAGAATGGAGCATCCTAGACTGCGGGATGTACTTCTTTGGGCGTTCTGCTATTGTCGGGTTTTGAGGATGCCTGCCGGGTGTTTGGGGACACCTACACTTTGCAGCTCAGATTCGTAGAGCTTCCACCTCTGCTCTACTTACTTCTTCAAAGGCAAGCCTGCTCCGAGGGTCGGGTTGTGGCCTTGTGAGGCGTAGCTCATAACGATGAGGTCCCAAATGCCTCCACCTACAAAGCGAATTACCCTAGCTTGCCGCCAGGAGGCAGAGCGGCCTGAGCTTGTCGCAGGTCATATCCTTATCGTTGCTGCAAAAGGCAAGGAGATTGGATCCACACGTTGCATCTTGCATCTCCGTCCGTGAGTGTGATCTTCTCCTGTCCTGTTTCCTGCCCCGTGGTCGCACACCTCGTGCAAGACCAAGCATCACAACCATTGTGACTGCATGCAATTAGGAAAGTCCGGGACAGACAGCGTCGCGAAGTCGACAAATGAGGCAAACATGAAATCGTCGGACCACATGAACCGACGCGATTGATGTCAGCGGTACTTGTACTACTTGTAGAGATCTGTATGTGCCGAGTGGTCCACCTCGCTCAAGAGCTTCATGTCATTCGCATATGTGATCTTTCGGGTAACAGGCCATCTCTGGTTCCAGCACAGCTTTTGTGTTGAGACCAGGCTCATCGAAACGTCTCTGTCGAATCGAAAATCTGTCGCTGCATGTCCTATCCAACTTTCTTGGACTGATTGAACCGAGAGGCAGGACTGCGAAGCACCGTTGTGCTGGCTGGAAATGTGTCGGGCGGGAAGACGATGACCTGCCATGCAGCCGAATGTGATTGTAGAGAAGGCGGATTCGGGATCAGATTTCAGAATTGTGGTTGAAGGAAAATGTCCCTTACTGTATGCACATGCAGCACTTGCTGCAACTTCAGGCAGTCAGTTTCACAGGAGAGCAACATGACTGCAGGCGTGCGAACATAGCCTACATAGATCTATATACAGCGCATCAATGCGACTGCAATGCATGCTTGAGCTTCAGCAGGATCCCGTCTCCCTGACCAGGAAGCTCGAGCAGTCCGTTCTGAAGGCACGCTGCACACGACAGACAGAAATGGACACCACCGCGTACCAACGACCTATTTATGGCAATCAGCGGTCGCTGCACCCTCTTGCGACCAACGACGCCGCAGAGGCCCGTGTCGCACAGCCGTTTGCACTTCCTGACGGCAACAATCTCAGCATCTACACTGCCGATACATGGTCATCAACAGACCTCGATAACGAGAGTAAACGAACTCTCGAATGCTTGCCAATTTCCAAGTCCATTTGAAGGTGAGTGTCGACACATCTCGATGTAGAGAGTTCACGATGTGCAGACCTTCCCGGCCACACAGCGTCCTGAGCTCGGCGTGACAAACCTGAACTCGGAGGCTCCCTGAGAACACCAGGACATTTCTATAGGGCTCGCTTCGGGTGCCGAGCGACGCCTTCACGCCGTTGCCGACCGACATGATGTGCATCATGTAGCCTGCATTCGCTTCATGTCAAATGTAACGTGTAGCAGCATGGTGCTTGAATTTTGCCGCTGAGCTCTTGCAGCTTGGCCCGTCGCTGCGCTCTGAGCACCAATGCTTTGATCGGCCCCCTCGACCTCTCACCCTGGAAGCCTAAACAAGCCCTCAAACCCGGAATCCGCACACCCTAAGGAACGATCCTACGCACCTAAAAACCTGCAAAAACCCTCAACTCTACGTCAACATACCTTCAGTTTTCCCTAAGCTCAGCAGATTCTTCTGCCTGTGGGAATGGTGGATCGGTCCACCTGCCATCCTCTTGGCGCAAGGACCATCTCAGAAAGCTGCTCCTCGTCCATCCTGGGCTTTCTTGAAACGCGGAGTGAGGTAGGGGCCTTTGACGATTAGGATCGTGTTCTAGGATAGATTCTATCGTATAGCTGTAGTTATCATCATGTTGAGGCTTTAGGGCTGAAGTGCTGCGCGTCCTTTTGTTAAGACTGCTTCACATTCTGGGACTGTAGTTGGGTCCCTGCGAGCTTGGGTTTGGCTGGGGGTCTCCATACGAAGATTTCACAGAGTGGAGGGCTCTAACTCACTGCGACATCAGCTGCGACATCACTTGATCAGGTTACCAAGAACTCCCCACTGAAGGAGCCCTATGCTGCGTTCTTGCTATGGAACTGATTATATAGATTTCTTTCTTGGTACATTAAAATAAGCTCCTTAACAAGGACACAGTATTGGAACCTGAGGGACTTTGGGTCTCGGCTCTGTGGACGTTGGACTTGGAATGTACTTGCGCCGGCTGTCCGTGATTGCCTTGTTGCAGGCCCATGAGCCAAGGTGCACATTCTCGTCTAGACGGAACTCAAACCAGCCGGCTCCTGGCCACTGGTGCATTCATGAGGCTATAGTCTAGTCATCTAGTCCTGCAGTACCATATCGCCCTGTGACAAGGAACCATGTGATGTCGCATTATCTGTGTAGGCTCTTCCAGAGGCGTTTAGTAGATAGTAGACAGGTAGCCCTCTTTAAACAGTGAATCTTCAAACCCGTCTTTCAATAAGAAGATGGATGCTCCATGATGTAGCTTTCTGTTCAAGGCTAACTGACTTGACCCGGCGACCCGACTCGACAGACCGTGACTGAAGCTCCTAGCCTCCCCAAGCCGTAATTCAAAACTCCCAATGCCCTGCAACCCAAAACTCAAACTCAGATGGTCCAACCCTGACACTAGAGCGTTTAACGAATACCCTTCCACCCTAAACCCTGAAACTTAAGCATCCTTCACTTCCACTTCCGAAAGCCACTGAAAGCCCTGAACCGGAACCCCGAAACCTCCAAAAATAGCTCCAAACCCCTGAAAGCCGAAAGCACGAAAGCGCCTTTTGCCGCGGATCCCTGGAGCGCCAAGAGCTCACCTCAGGTCGGAGAAGGATCCAGGCTTCGGGCTGTGCGAGTCTCAGACTTCCGTAGTATATATATATATATATATATATATATTGTGTATATATATATACACATCTAGACATATATATATATATATACATATATACATATATATATATATATATATACATATATATATATATATATACTATATGACTCGAGGCTGCATAGATATGTCTCGGTAATTGTACCAACATATGTCTGTCTGTCTCTGTCTGTCTGCGTGTCTGTCTGCCTGCTGCCTGCTTGCTTGTCTGGCCCGTCTGTCTGCCTGCCTGCCGGTCTGTCTATATATCTGTCTCTATCTATCTACCTATCTACCTACCTATCCATCTATGGGTACGCACGTACATACATACATACATGAATACATACTTACACATATAGTATTTTACCACACTTACGGTCACATATGCATATATATATACATATATATATATATATATATATTTATATTTATATTTATTTATATTTATTTATTTATTCATTTATTTATAATATTATGTACATATATATATATATATATGACACATATACATGTATACAGGGCGGGTCTTAGATCTCGGGGCTTCGGTGTGTGCGGGTTTAGGGTGCTTATCTACCGGGCTTAGATTTATTAGGTAGGGCTTCGGTGCGAGAGTGCGTCGTCTGACACTTCCAACAACAGAACAGAACAGGGCTTCGGGGATGGGATTGGTGGCTTTCGAGGTCTTATCAAGTCTCAGGGCTTTCTGGTTATGGTTATGTGCACCCGGGACGGCGCGACATTCCTCAAAGTGGTGTATGGTTTAGGGAGCGGAGGTTAGGAAACCGATGACAGCCACCAGAAACCTGAAGAGCGTGCACGAGTCAGGCAAAAGGCTCGCTGTTTAGCCACACAGTCTGCGGCTCCGTCAGGGTTTTGTCTGAAACTGATAGCACTCTGGGAATCATGGAACAGTGTCTCTGTGAGAGCTCTTTAGGACTGTCTGTCTGCACTGGAGGAAAGACACGAAACGCTATGAACACAGTCCCCAAACAGAGGAGCGTGTTGCTTGGAATGTGTTGGCCTCCGACCCCGTCAGCACCTCCGAAGGGTTTTCATTTCTCCACGCTCATCGCTACAAGATTAATCCATTGCAACGGCTGAAAGCTCGGAGGGTTCCTCATGCAAGAGGCGAACAGACAGGTGCTGTATCAAAGGCTGTAAATGCAACTCACCACTAGCACCACAGAGTTGAGCCCAGGTCACCGAGACGTTCCTGTGCCTGCGTTGACGCGTCGCCGAAGATGCCTTCCTGTACCTTCTCAGTGCAATTTCGCGAGGTGGGATTTCGACTGTTAGCTGTCCTGCAATATTATTAGATTCAAAAGCAGAAATGAACATCTGTTACGTAAAATGCATCTGTATGCACCCGACCATGTGCATGCATGTATGTGTCTGTGTGTATATCATATGTATGTGTGCGGGTGGATGGGGAGATGGATCGGGGGTATGCATGTATTCATGCATGCATGTAAGCAAGCCTGTGTCGGTATGTCGGCTGTCCGTCCGTGCGTCCGTGCGTCCGTCTGTCTGCGTGGATCTATGTACGTATGTGTGTATGTCATTCTGATTCTGTGTCTTTGCGCGTTTGTATGTCTGTATGTGAGTATGTTAGTATGTATGTACGCATGCGAGCGAGAGAGAGTGAGAGTAAGAGTGACTGTGAGAGTGAGAGGAGGGAGTGCGAGAGAGAGAGAGAGAGAGAGAGAGACAAAGACTGACTGACAAGTCACGTGCAGTGTGCGAGCTACTCTAGAACAGAATTCAAGAGCCCGTGGCCAGATAATTAGAACAGATAGCTTCTGCTGGAGCTGTTTCGTTTCGCATTGTCGGGACAACTTACGGTTAACGATCATCTGGAGTCCCTCAACTCGTGCCTGCTCGTTGACAAACATGAGTGCTTCTTGCACGTCCGCTGTGCTTGGACAGCCGTCCAACATGCCGACTTTGCCGACACCTTGGAGATCGGACGTTCCCCCTACTACTGGGTCAAACTTGTCATGCTGCTGACCATTGACGTGATGTTGATTTCGTTCATGCTGGTTCTGCTCTGCTGATCTATCTTGCCTTTGCCGGCATTGCCCTTCACATAATCATCCTGACGGCAACCATACTCATCCTTCTCATCGTTATCGTCGCCAATTGCTTCGCTGTCGTGGTCGACCCAGTCAGTGCCAACGCTACGACTGCTATGACCATCACCATCAGTGATCATGACAACAGTACTGAAGCCTTCGGATGATATCTCTCGTTGGGGTCCGCCCAGTGCGCTTTGCCTGCACAAACTGTGCAAGTGCAAGTGCTGAAGGGTCGTCTTTGTCCTTGTCGCTACCCTCCCTGTAGTCCTTCTTGCCCTTCTTTCTTCCTGCTCTTAGCTTCTGCCATCAACCTATTACTACACGCTGTACCAACCTAAGCCCTAAAAACTAGGCATCCCTAAACCCTACAGTATTGCCCGAGTAGGTCTACGTCTATGTCGAAGCTCCTTCTTGCGGCTCAGCAGCGAGGCGTGCGAGCTTTGATGCCCTCATTGGGATCCCATGCCTTCCACTCGCCGTCCTTGCAAACAGTCTGCCGTGCAGTAGGGATTTGGTTCAGGGGATAAGGTCTGCAGGACTGTGGGATTCAGGGTCTAGGCACTGTGCTTGTGGGACATGGGATATGAGTATATCGGCTGTAGGGTCTCCAATCTATGCTCTTCATGAGTAAAACCCCCTCAGGTTTTCTGGAACCTGCCCGTAGCCGCAAAGATTTACCGGAAACAAGTGACCTCAAACTTACTACTTTACTGCAGTTACAGCCTCAGTAGAGGCCACAAACTTACTACTTTACTCAGCTTGGAAATCCGTTCTGGAAGGGTCCTTCATGATTGGTCTTGCTTTGGAAACAAAACATGTCGAGAAGCCCACCTCTAGCAAGAAGCAACCTTGCCTTTCTCGTGACATTCCGCCCATTGTGTCCGAGCAGAACAAAACTTGGAGATTTGTATACATACATTTGCCTGTACATGCACAGAGCTTTAGACATGCACAAAGCTATGTATAATTATGTATGTAGACACGCATAGGTACTGGTAGTAGGTCTAAACACATTTACAGATTACACATATACGCACATACCTATCCTGTGTGTATCTGTATACATAAACAGCTATCATTAAGAAAATAAACACATATACTAATATGACATATATATATATATGTATATATATATATATAATACATGAACATGCACGACATGTTACACGTAGACTTGGAGGCCCAGCGGCATAGAGGCCAGCCTCTCGCTCACGCACGAAATACTCGAGGCCTTCTCAGTCCCGAAAAGCACGGAAAGCTGAGGATTCTTGGCGCCCTAGGATTGTAGGATTCAGGGTGTGCGTCGGGGGTGGGAGGACGATTGAACATGATTCAAAATCACTCATTACTACAAATACCACCTTTGGTTTTTTTGGCCGAAGGTTGTTGCGACAGTGTTACGTATGAAGAGAGATACTTCTGTGGGATCCCGGATTGTGAGAATTTCTTAGGTCTAGGGGATGGAGGTCTGAGTTCAAGAACGGCCTCATAAAGAGGAGATCTCCTGGATCCTAGTGAGCTTGTCAAGTGAGAACACATGGAGTTCACGAAGGTTCATGCTGTCGTAAGCGCCAGCTCGCCACATGGTCTCTGTGCTTCCAACCCTAAGCACCATAACCACCTTACCACCCATCCCTAAATCCTCCCAGGCCTGCAGGTACAGCCTCCACCAAGGCCGCCTTTGCTGGAGCTCTTCCAGCGGGGATCCTGCGGAGGGACGGAGTCTAAAGCCCAAGGCTGCAGGAATCCCTGCCCCGGGATATGCCCGAAAGGTTGGGAAGCAGGTATCCCCAGCAACTACCGTTTCCTGCTCCAAACACCCATGGTTCACTCCAACAAAGGTTGGCATCCAGGAAATCTCTACATTGAGAGTGGCGACACCACTCATACTATGTCTGATGCGCGGATTCCATGCGGACAGGTCGTCAGATGATGTCTGCTGGTGTGCCGGTCCCGACACCACTCATCAGGAGCTGGTTGAGCATGTCTGCCAACCTTGAATCGCTCAGAGCTTCCCGAACGAGAACCACCTCGCCTGTCCAAACGGAGTGTTAGTACTAGACTGAATACCAAAGAACTGTGAGCATAGTGGTCCGAGTGTCCTCCCCCTCTACAGTCGTCTGTATTATCGAAACGTGGGTATGCACTCATATTAACGAGCATGGTATTGAAAAGGCCCTGCAATCCTTCTGGCCAGGGTGCTCTGAGTCCTCGCAGTAGAGTCCATCGTCGGAGTCGTCGTCGATAAGCCTCGCCGGCGCCCATGCAGGATCCCACATGCTACCGTTTGGGTTCTAGCCATTCCGCGATCTTACCCTGTCTTACACACAGCTCACCTTGGATAACCTGATCCCAGCTTCGGTCGGAACGCCGAGCGAGCTGTAATTATAACAAGATTTCAGTCATTGGTCTCTCAGAGTGCAAACTCAGCTGGGCCAAGCAAAGGTGATGGGAGTTTAGGGCATAGCGTCTATGGGGTAAGGATTCAAGACAATCCCTTCCCATCGCGCGCACCGGGAGAACGCGGTGAAGTCGCATCCTTGTGGCTCACATAGGACTTCCTGAGGGCCCGAGGCATGGTGCACCCCCCAGTCACGTCTTAAAGGGGGAATGGATTATGGAGATGCTTATAGGGGATTATATAGGGACTATTATAGGGATCCATTCCCCCATTACCTACTAAGAACCAGACAGTTTAAGCCAAAGCAAAAAGAAAGGCCGCGTCTCTGGGACTCCTGGGAATCCGCAAGACCCGAGCCCGCCAGTCACTGTAGGTAAGCTTTATGAAACTCTGTTTTAGGGGGTTGATACATGTAACTTGAACCAAATCCGGCTCGATCAGTGTAGTGAGGTGCCTAGTCGGATCTTGGGCCTACTTCCAGCCGCTCCATGCCCAAAAGACACTCGCAAGAACCTCTTGCAGACAGAGCCGGCTTCAACGCTTGAAGACTGGGCCTGCAACCCGAGAGAAGCTGGCAAAGTGCAACAACATCTGCTGTGCTCGCATCTCTACACACCTTGAGCCGACGATTCGACGAATTTGTTTCAAAAGCGGCGATATAGTCCAATGCAGGAACTCCAAATAAAAACGCGAACGCGGTTCGGTTACGAGCACCTGACAAAGAAGGAACGAACACAATTGAAGGGTACGACAGCCTGATGTAAAGGAATACTGTGCGACCATGATTCGAACTCTCCGGCCCAGTCTGCGTCAGTACCTGACATCATGCAGTTTAGGACTGGGATGTCACCCGTAATTGGGTTTAGGAGAAGCAGTGACCAGACTTGCTTGCTACTTTAGCCCAGCCAGGGACACGACTGCACGGAGACAACAAATCATATTCAAAGGCCAACTGTCGATCGGGTATTTCTTTTCTCAGAGAAAGGGTCAGACTCTATGCTGTACCAGCGCCGAAAGCGTGTCCCGAAGGTGATCTTGAAGCCTTGCTCCCCACTGCTACATTACATGATCACACAAGATGAAAACTGCGGTGTATCAGTGGAACTGCTTCAAGACCCTGCCTTCGAAGCCTGTCATCTCCGCAAACTTCTTCATTTCGGCTCGATTCAGACGCCTCTTGTGGAAGAGGGAGAGAGAGGGAGAGAGACAGAGGGAGAGAGACACACACACACACACATTCATAGGCGGGAAGTGAAGTATCAAGAGACTCAGAGGACGCGAGGCGAAAGAGGGAGAAGGGGAGAGACAGAGCCCATGAATCAGCACCGATGCGGACTGTTCCGGTTCATTGAAATCCTTGGCTCTCTCTAAGCCCTAAACCCCAAAACCCTAAGACCTAAACCCGGCTGGCGCCTGTCTCCGTCTTGGTCCAGGCAGCTGAAGAGCGTCGATTTGACGTCGCTGCGTGCCCTTGCTGAGGCAGATCTACAAAAGCTCAACGTGCCACTGCCCACAAATCCCTAAACCCTAAACCCTTGCTTGTTAAGTAGAAGACACCAGTGCAGACTCCCCTTGGATCCTAACCAAGCCGAGGCACATGGCGAAAGGGTTGACGCCAGCGGCTCGCAATGCCTTCGTGGAGATCAGCTTCACGGTCGTGTCTTGGCACTGAACATGCCAGCTAGTATCCTTCAAACATTCTTATATTACCCTTATAGTAACTTCTCAGTATTCGTCTACTAACCTTGTAGTATTTAGATAATCCTATACGACCCTTAAGTAGTATCCTTATGGAAACCTTACCGGCGACAACTGCGGAGCGGCTCAGGGACCGAAAAGGTGCGGGCTGGCTTTGTGGGGGGGAGCAAGGACACGAGGACATTATATTTTGATATATTTTGCACACTGTTATAAATTGAAATAATATTAATAAATTAACACTGTCGCCTCCTGCTTCTGAAATGCAGCCGCAAGTGCTCCGTGCTTTCAAGTATTGATTAGGGCCCCGATATTACCGTGGGCCTTTCTCATCAAGCCTCTGCTCTTGAGGGCAGGGTCGTGACATACAAGGGATGCTCATCCTTCCTTGCCGCCCGGCTGCTAAAGTTCGACGAGAAAGCCTGACGGAGGCTCTGCCAAACCTGGTGATGACCAGCTGACAAGCAAAGGAGACGGGGTGGAGGGCAGGGGATAAGCCGCAGGGTGCAGAGATGTTGTTGGGGAAGGCAGTAGCTGGTAACACGAGTCGAGAGAAAACCCAACGTCTGGAACAAGCAGCCTTCCGCCCGTCCGGTGCGCCGGCATTGTGGTCAGACTCGGTACTGTCGAGGCCATCCACGTCCTCTCAATTGAAGTCACAACGGACATGGAGAAGGGCTTCGGTACGTTGGCTCGTTGATGCTCCAACTTTAAGATTGCCGGTCCTGGAATACGTACGATCCCGGGGCAACAATCAAAAAAGCGCCAACAGTGCACCAGAAATGTAATCAAAAAAGCGATTGCCACTAATGGTCGCACAACGAAAGCAAAACACAAGCAAAACAAAAGCAAAAACAAAGCGATCGAGCATGTAAAAAGAAAGCAAAGGAAAAGCAACTCAAAAACAGCTCCAGCGAATAATAACCCAAACAAAGTGTAAAATGCAGAATACATGCAATACGAAAGCAGCCACCAGCGAATATTGTTGTTTATTTCCTTTTTCATTCGCTTTTTATTTGTTTTTTTTTTTATTTGCTTCATTTTCCAAGAGGCCAAGCTACAGGGATCCCTGAATCACTTTTTCGATCGCATTTTCTGCGCATTGTTTTTGCTTTTCGAACTCCCCCTAGGCATTCCAGGACCAGGCAATCATAACTCCAACTACGCCTATGCCAAGGCTGTGAGCGGCATCATGCCATGATGCTGAGATGCAGCTGGAGAACTGCAGCGGGCAATTTCAGGGTTTTGTCGCAATCCTCCACTCTTTGAAACCAAACTCCTGCTGGATGGCTCTCTGTATTTCAATTTACCTCTTCCGCAGTATCTGAAGTCGAAGATCTAAATCCAGAACCACGCAGTTGAACACTCGATGACCCGAGAGCAACCATGTGTCAGCAGTCGTAACAATGATAGTGCCTGCAATGCAATCCAGCGTTGCCCTGATTGTGATTGCGAGGATTGCCGGTATTCTATCTCCAAGTCTTGCAGTCTATCAGGGTTATTACGATGATGACGACTTTGACGCTTATTATGTACGCTGTGCTACTATTCCCTAAACCCTAAACCCTAAGTGCTAGGAAGTTAAAAGCGACGCATTCCTCCCTCTGAGCTCCTCCCAAGATCTCCGCACTGCCAGACCAGCATGACGCAGAGGGCTCCAGCACCAAACCTGCGCAGTCGTAGCGTCGCAGGCAAATACTTCGGGCATACCAGGACCCTCCAACGGCCCTTTATGCAGGCCTTAAGGTCATTACTGGTGTTTATTTGGGGTATAATAATAGAGGGCCAGGGTAGTTGTGGGATCTAGGTAGGGATACCTCCTCCCCAGAACGCTCCGTCTTGAGGCATTGCTCTGCGCTCTGGCCCGAGAGTCCATGGGACCTACGGCCGGTTCGATGTACCGAATCTTCTGCAGCTTTTGGGGAACCCTAAACCCCTAAACCCCTAACCCCTAAAGCGTCACCCTCTGCCCATCAGTCTACTGCACTGCGCTGCACTGTTGAGCTTCTCATCAAGTCGACGGATAGGCAAACCAACCCATGAGAATACCTGTCGTAACCCAACGGCAACGGCGAGTGCAAGCGCACACCCACAACTAAAAGTGATCTACCAAATGCTTACGCACTGTCTGCGAACTCGGAACACTCTCACGGGCTTCCATGCTCCAAAGGGGAAACTTAGCAGCAGCTGCGTGTCATTTTGACTGCAAATCCAGAGAGCCCGCACACAGAACCGAGGTCGGATGCCCAAGGAGCGCGCAGTGCCCCACTTTTCTGCGAAGATGCAGCCGGCTTCATGGGAGGTCTCTGGCGCATTAATAGTGTTATTACTATTCTTATGATTACTAACACTATTGTTGCTAATATTACTATCAAATTAGTTGTTACTATTCTTGTTTCTATTGTTGTAACGCGCGCCAAGGCTTCAGCACCGAAGGCCGTAATGCATGCACGCTGGCTCACAGCACGCAGTTGCTTTGACTGCTGCCGGCTGAAGCTCGGAATGGTGGGTAGACGCATCTAAATGCGGATATGTATTGCAGGGAATCACTCCTGCACTAAATCGAACTCTGAAAGGCAGATATCCCTCCGCAAGCAGTTTCCTCCTATTTCCTCCTCCGTTTCAAGCATTTTGTCAGTTCAGGTGGGATGCACTGGCGTAGCTGAGGAAACAGCTCAACAAGCGAACACTAGCCGCTAGCCGAAAGCTGCCCGTGGAAATACAATGGTTTTGGCTCTTGCCTTCGGATGGAAAATCGTGTAAAAAACACATTGAAATTCCAAGTCTGCTGTTGACAGGTCCCACTCGTCTGAGGTTCACGACAAGGGTGGCACTTGCAGCGGCTACCTCGACGGAAGGCAAGACATGGTAAGGCCACCTCGCGGACCTATATTGAACTTGTGGGAAGGAGGAGAATCTGACACCACATCTGTCCCCAGTGCGTACTGGCATACTGCTATCAGATTACCGTCACAACATGCACGTGGTTGCAGAAAGTCACCTGAAACATACTGCGGACCTGACATCAGTTCCACACTTCTTACCATAGCAAGGAAACCATACCATTTTCTGTAAATCTCTAGGATGGTAACTTAAATCAACCCCTGTTAGGGCAACTTACATTAAACACCTTAGCAAGAAGCCAAACTTCTGACAGGGCTCGATAGTAGCGCTTTCAGGGTCCCCCAGAGCCCGAGCCTGGGCGCTGCAGAACAGGGGAAGGGCCCGAAACCCAATCAATAGGGGCATGTGTGTTTATATATGTGTGTACCTTTCGTATATACATGTATATTAGATACCGACATACATACAAAGATATACATATATATATATATAGATATAGATATAGATATAGATATAGATATAGATATAGATATAGATATAGATATAGATATAGATATAGATATAGACATATATGTATATATGAGCCGGGAGCCTTTGGGGTGCATTTAACCAACTGCTTTTCTTTGCCTTATGAATTTATATTTGTTGTATGTATACACTTAGGCACACCACAGTCCCTTGGCTGTATATGTTTTCGTTCCAAAGCCATCTCTTTCACTCAGCGCTGGAAATAACTGCTGTTCGGCTTGATTGTGTTTGGTCTTCGTCTTGGCTTGTTGTCCTTGTGGTTTGCACTTCAGGCTTGGTGGCTTACTCATTTACATTCAGCACATCGGTACATGTACATCACATGTGCATATGCATACAAACATGCATGCATAAACACATGCATATACGCATACATACACACGTACATAGAAACATAGAGACATACATACGTACATGCATACATGCATATGCATGCATAAACATGCATACAGTCGTCAGTCGTTATCGGATATACGCATCAACGTATACACATACTGTCTCTAATTCTCTCTCTCTATACATATATATATATATATATATGTATATATATATATGCGTGTACATACATCTTTATATCCATACGTCGTATCTAACAACGAACTTATCAAGAGCTCATGCATCGACTGTTTGGGATCCGCTCTCAGTCACGATGGTCTACCAGGGCATGAACTTGGTCCTTGGTCGGAGAATCGGGATGGCATTCTTGAACCCAAAAGTTTGGAAGCATTCTTCATGATCGTGGGATCGGAAGGCTCAAAGTTCAAACATAGAGCCACTATTGAATCGAAGCTGATGTATTCCTTGAGCTGCTGGTATTTATCTTCCAAGGATCGTCGATCGTGGATGGCAAAAGGTATTTTGGGCATCCCACCTACTTTTGACAAGACAACTTCTCCTTCTCGGTAAGGTGCCGAGATCTGCCTAGTTGCCCTACGTTGTGGATGACTTTTAGTGCCGAAGTAGATAACTCTACCACGGCGCGCAACTGTCTTGGATCTTCGAACTCTGGAGTGTTCATAGAAACAGTTCGGTGTCTCCAATGACTGCGGTCACGCACGGCTACAAGCATGCCTCGCGATACTCCGCCAGCGCTGTCAAGTAATGGAATGAGAAATACATGCTCGGCAGCGAGTTCACGACCTCGGAAGGAATGCTACCTCCTTGACAATCATCGGTGTTGGTATAAGGTAACTGTCGACGACACCATCGTCGGCTGGTAGCTCGCCCAGGCCTCGGGTCATTTATGGCGCAAGGATCCGACTGTTAATTGAAAGTATACTAATGCGGACCGTGGCTTAGCAGCAGCAGACGCGGTCGTAGATGTAGCAGCGAGGCGTCGTGACCACCTCCTTGCATAAAGCACGGTATGATACGGTATGATCGAAACCCAAACAGCAGCTGCAGCGAGCCTTGATCTATCGGAGGAACTCGCGTGAGGTTGCTCTGATGCAGCCCTGACAGCCCCGACAGCGAACAAACAAACTGCAGCGATCAGTGCATCGTAGATGAGTTTTGGATCGGGCCTTTCTTGATCTAGGAGATCTTCCATCTCTCGCAGCATCATTCAGGCGTCGAACAAGTGGGTAGACCAGAACGCAGCGGCCATTCTTGGACAAGAGATCATCGCACCCGGAAAGCCACGTGGAAACCCAAGCCTGTGAAGCAATGGATGGTTGGGATGCATTTCGAAAGCTCGCCCGGGGTGGCCGTAGTGTAGCGATCGTCAGCAGGGCTGGCACGAGGCTGTGGGACGTCCGTGCGTCTGCGAACAACTGCCCATTCATCATTCAACCGCCACTCTAAGTGTGGAGCGATCGGAACTGTACTGAAATTTGTAGGCAGCTTGTGTGGCGCTGTACCTTTCGGAGCCTTGGAGAAAGGCTGAAACAGTATGCCTTCAAGGACGATGGCTTCCACAGCTGATCAGCTTTTTGCCGCATGCTTGATGCCAGGCCGCCAAGCTAACATCGGATCGAACCAGCGGCGCGGACTGCGAATAGTTCACGCCAGTCACGCATCAAGAAGCACGCACAAACACACACTCGCCTACCTACCTACAGACACTCGGGCCCTGCCTCGTCTCTGTTTCTTCTCTTGCTGAAGTATGCCTGACCAAAGCTGTTGTGCGACAGTTGGCTGGTTTTGTCAAAGGTCTCGCTTTGCACGGCTCCTGCATTCCCGGAATGTCAAAACGTCACGGTGGGTGAGCACTCGTCTTCGCCTCGCAGCAAAGGTAGACCTCTGCCACCGTGCCACACAACATCTTCTAATGTAATTAACATATTTTCATGCGCGGCCGTCGAACAAAGACTTGTGCTGCGCGATGAAAACTTGCAAGTTCGCTCGAATGCGATGCTGTAGACCCGAAGTAGATATGACCAGGTGGCTCAAGGCCGGATCCGATGCTTGTCGTCGCTCACATGGCTGATGTGACCGTCCACATACTTCCACTGCTGTCGCGACAGTACTTGCACAGGTCAGTAGAATATGTTGAGTTTCAAGCGCAGCGAACCTCGAGGCGGTACGCAGCATCAGCGTTCGCTGTGTTGATGAAGGTCCTTCCGGACAAAGGGCATGTCAAGTGAAATACTTGTTCGTTATGCACATGGGATGGATGTGGTTGTCGTGTTTTGCGCGCAGAGACCGGCCTTCAAGTGCGAAGATGAAGAAGCGAGTGTCCAATTGTGCCGCTGATTGCTGAAGTTATGCTGACCCCGTCTTCGCCGACACGGACGGCCACAAAATGGCCGTGCGTGCCCACGATGTACCGTCCGTGGAGCAACCGCTTGGACGGCACCGGCACGATGCACTTCCTCAGTTATTCAAGCCAGGATTCATAGTCCTTTAATTTCAGCGATAACACATACTGCCATCAAGGCAGCCTAAACGTGTTGCCATCGGCCTTGGCCCAGAGCGGGCCGTCCCGCTCATACTTCATTTTGACGCCGTGCGCTCGAAGCAGTCCCAAAGACAAACGCTTTTGTGCCTTGCATTGCCTGGAACAAAAAATCTTCTGAATGATAAAATAGCACCTTAGCACCGCAAAAGTTGCTGACAAGTTGCTACCCTCCCCTGCAGTGTGCGGATCCACGGAGCCTCCACCCGACGTGCTGGATGAACTCTACGCTGAATTCTAATCGTGACAGCGAAATACAGCCTGCGGGGCATAGCTGCTTCTGCGACATGGCATTGCGGCCTGTAGCGTGGGAAAAGCTGTTGTATGCAAGCTGGTGCCGCAACAGGACAGACATGAAAACTAACCCAACATGAGGGCAAACAGTCCTGCGCGAGCGAAGCCCTTGTACCAAGCTGGTCTCGGGATCCTTCGCCAGGCACGCAGGTCCTTCGTGATTACACGCGTAGCTACGTGTCACATATTCTGTCGTTTTTCAGGAAGCTCTCCTTTGAAGGCTCCAGATGTCACAATGTGCGACCGATATACGCTTTCGCCAGCTCGTCGCCTCACGAGCACGCATTTGTACCTATAACTCATTTTCATCAACT